ATAATGTATTCTACAGTTAAGTGTATGTGTATATATTATATGTGTATGTATCTGTGTGTATATATATGTGTGTGTATGTATACACACACACACATACATATATATTCAAGCCGATTATCAACTTTATAGGTTGTGTGCTGTGTATATAATGCATTCTACATTTAACTGTATGTATGTATGTGTGTGTATATATATAATCAAGCTGATTGTCAAATTAATATGTTGTGTGTTATGTATATAATGTACTCTACATTTAAGTGTATGTGAATATGTGTGTGTGTATGTGTGTGTGTGTATATATATATATATATATATATATATATACATACACACACACATACATACATGCTAGCCATCCCCTGCCACGTGTTGCTGTGGCCCAGTCTGTGTATATGTGTTTTGTGTGTCTATATATTTGTATATATATGTGTGTTTGCATATATGTGTGTGGTTTTGCGCATGCGTTGTTCAGTCCCCACAAGCTTTCCCCCACAAATGCACTTTTTTCATTGCTATCTCATCCAGAGTTTTACCATTTTATGTCGTGCCTTTGGCCCGCCCACCGTGTTTGATTTTCCATTATGTTATTTTGTACTGTTTATGTTACTTGATTCATTTATTTATTTATTGGTTTATTTATGTTTATATTTTATGTTGCTGTAATGTATCATTGGGCTTGGCCTCATGTAAGCCACTCCGAGTTCCCTTTGGGGAGATGGTGGCGGGGTATAAATAAAGATTATTATTATTATTATTATTATTATTATTATTATTATTAATGTAATTTTTGTTTTTTGGGTTTTTTAGTCCCTTCCACTATGTTATTCATTGTTTGTATGAGCAATGGTCACTCATTGGTCTGTTAGGGGTAGAGTGTCCAAATTTCGTGTCAATTTGTCCAGTGGTTTTTGAGTTGTATTAATCCCACAAACGAACATTACATTTTTATTTATATAGATATATTCAAGCCGATTGTCAACTTAATAGGTTGTGTTTGTTGTTTATATAACGCATTCTACATTTATGTGTACTCAAGCAGATCGTCAACTTTATAGGTTGTGTATTGTGTATATAGTGCATTCTATATTTAAATCTATGTGGATATAGGCAATCAAGACTCAGAGGTGGCTTGAATTTTCCAAATCCAATGTTCGATTAAGGTTTTTGGTAGTTTGATATATTATGGTGGTATCACCCGTGGCAGGAGTGTTTTGTTTTTAAATACCATTAATATTTTAAATACCAATAATAATAATAATAATAATAATAATAATAATAATAATAATAATAATAATATTTAATTCTTTTTTAACGCCTGCATACGTTCGTTTAGGTTTTTACATTGTATTGCATTGGTTTTACTTTAAGCCACTTTGAGTCTCTTTTTAGAGGGAAAAAGTGGGGTGTAAATAATAATAATAATAATAATAATAATAATAATAATAATAATAAGATACATCACACTGTCCTAGACGCTTGGGAAGTGTTTGACTTGTGGTTTTGTGATACGAAATCCAGCATATAGATCTTGTTTACTGTGACATACTGTGCTTTTGTGTCAATAATAATAATAGGATCATAATAATAAGAGCATTATTATTATTATAGAATTATATAATATAATATTCTATAATAATAATAATAATAATAGTATACATACATACACACACACATATATACTGTCACTATATATATATATATATATATATATATATATATATATATATATATAAGGATGGGGATATATATATATGTGTGTGGTTGTGTGTTTTCAATCACTGTAATATATCTATATAACTCGATGGATGGGGATATATATATATATATATATACTCCATCACTGTAATATATCTATATCTATAACTCGATGGATGGGGATACACACACAGTCACACATATACATACACACACACACACACACACACACACACATATACTGTCACTATACATACACACACACACACACACACACACATATATACCTATATCTATATATCTCATCACTATCTATCTATCTATCTAACTATCTAAATGGATGGGGATATAGATATATATACCATCAGTGTAATATATCTATAACTCGATGGATGGGGATACACACATATATACATACATACACACACATATATATCCCATCACTATATATACATACATATATCTATAAATCGATGGATGGGGATATATATATATATATATATATATATATATATATATATATCCTCCATCACTATAATATAGCTATATCTATAACTCAATGGATGGGGATATACACACACAGTCACACACATATATATATACATACATACACACACATATATATCCTGTCACTATACATACATATATACCTCTTGATGAATAGGGATATACATATATCTATACATCCCATCACTCTATCTATCTATCTATCTATCTATCTATCTATCTATCTATCTATCTATCTATCTATATCAATGGATGGGGATATATATATATTCCATCACTGTAATATATCTATAACTTG